ATTCGCGAGGATTTGCGCCCTAGCTATGTAAGGTGGCAGATATGGCTGATAAGATACTTAGTGTGCGTGGTGAAGAGCCTGTTGGCAAACTATAGGTTAGCATGCTTGTGACTAGGCTGGTGGAATGGGTATACTCCAACGTCCTTTGTGGGTACCCCCCAAAACTTTGTCAATAATACATGGATTCTAGCGAAATAGGGCTTAAAAGAAAGAGAAAAACTACTTCTACATTTCTGTAGTAGAGGGTTTTGTTATAACTATTAAACTGCACAAGCTAGAGGCTAGAAAAGGTTAAAAAAGGGGGGGTACCTAGTAAGCATACCTATTAATAGGTATACTTTGCTAGGTAGTGTTAATAACTTAGCTAATACTAGGCAGAATAAGCTAATTCTTTTTTTATTAGAAGGCGCAATACTAGGCGCTTCTATTGAATAATAGATTATGTAAGCGTATCTCTGCTAGTTAAGAAGCTATAAGCCAAAACGTAAAAAAGCATACCCTACCTATCCGCCAGCCTACTATATGCCTCGTAGCGGATTCACACCTATTCCGGATATCTCTCTTCTTGCCTGCGTCGTTACAACGACCTTCTCACAGCCTGGAGCGCGCCTATAGAAAAGCAGCACCACGACGCTGCTTCATACGATTCCTTTTGCTCATACTTTAATCTGCTGCACAGTACTATTAAGCAGCATTCAATACAGCCAGAGAACACGTACAATATAGATGAGGAGGGATTCATAATTAGAGTGATGAGCAAGGGCTTTAGAATCTTCAATAAGCAGCTCTTTAGACTCTAGAAATACAAGCTAGCATCTTATAATAGCAACAGGAAGTAGGTAACAGTAGTAGGAGCAGTAGGAGCTAATAGTTTTACGTTGCCACCTGCAGTTATTTATCCTTTATCATCTCTCTAGATGCAAGAGAGCTGGGTGCAGCGCGTTAAGGCTAAAAAACATGATATACACTTTAGTACCTTAGTAAATGGCTGGACGAACAATGCTCTTAGTGTTGCCTGGCTTAAGCAAGTGTTTGATCGCTATACAAGAGTGAGGGCGCGAGGGAAGTACAGACTCTTGATCCTTGATGGCCACGGCAGCCACGTCACGCAGGCCTTTATTGAATACGCTCATGCCAACAAGATTCTGCTACTTATATTCCCTCCGCATGCTACTCACGCGCTTCAGCCGCTTGATGTGGCGTGCTACAGGCCGTTGGCGCAGCACTACTCTGATGAGCTCCTTCATCGCGGCCACACCACCGAGGGGTGGGTACCTGTGGCTCAGGCTGACTTCTTCCCGCTTTTTTTGGGCAGCGTGGAAGAAGACCTTCACTAAAGACCTTGTTGTACAGGCCTTTAAGTGCACTGGGATTCACCCACTAGATGCCAACGTCGTGCTCAAGAAGTTCAGAAACCTAACACCAAAGTCGCCCAGCACAATCCTAGAGCCTACTCAGCTTCAGCCTGCACCAGAATCACCTAGTTGGCGCAAGATGTCGCAGCTTCTCAAGCGTGCAAGAGAAGATAATGTACCTAGTGCTGCTAAGGCAGTTAATTAAGCCCTTCACTAACTCCACGTGCAATTAGAGATCTTAGAGGCTAGGGTTAACAGCCTAGAAGAGGCTCTAAAGGCTAATAAGAATAAGAAGAGGAAGTAGAAGGTACTACCTTTGCAACCTATTAATAGTAATAAGGGTAGTGGTGTAGTTCTCTAGAGTCCTTCACGCATTAAGCGTAAAAAGCAAGAACTCTAGGTAAAATAGGACCTTAAGCGCGCTGCAGAGGCAGTAAAAGCTACTAAGAAGTAGCTTCAACACTAGAAGAAGATTATTTAAGTAAAGGAGAAGGAGGATAAGCATGTAGAGTAAGAGAAGAAGAAGGTATTAACTACTAAGGCATAGGCTGCGAAGTGCACTTAAACTAAGGCTTGTAAAGAGGAGGCAAAGCGCAAGAGCAACACAAAAAAAAGTACTTAATTACCTAAACAGGCTAAGAGCAAGGCATTATAGAAATCTTAGTTAAAAGTAATAAAGAATTGTGGTGGTAGTGCTATGCATAGTTAGCGGGTGCCTCACAGGTTGCCCTCACCACCACCACCTACTATAGCATCTACTGGCTGCACTACGCGTCCCCCTAGAAAACTGTAGTAGCTAAAAGTTTCGCAATAGTCTATTTAGTAATCTACTAAATCATCTTGTAATAGCAGCGTCGTGGTGTTGCTCAATAATCTCACTTGTTTCGGGGTACAAAAAGTGATGTTGGTGCATCACGCGCCGCGGTGCACAACGAGGCCGTGCACGTTATCTGTACGTGAAATTTCGCAATTTTTAAATATTTAATGCTAGTGCTAGTAGAACTAAGGGTAGCTATGCAACAACGTTGCAACGTTGTTTTAAGTTTGTTAAATAACGTAGATTATCACCGAGCTGGCCATATCACCGAACTGGCCACTTTCTCTTAGCACGACCACCTTTTAATCTAACACAATATGCCTTAACAACAACAACTCTAGAACACTACTAGAGAAGGCAGAGTTATCCTTACTATCTAGGCCTTCTATGCTAGCTAATTTTGCAGTATCTATAGCGCTGCTAGAGTATTAAACGTACCTTATTAGCAGGTCTCTAATCACCTTTGCAATATCACGTTTTAACTAGACATACACGCTAATTACTAGAAACTTACTATACTAGAGGAGCAGACAATTGTCTAGTATATATTTAACCTTAATTCGCGAGGATTTGCGCCCCAGCTATGTGAGGTAGCAGATATAGCTAATAAGATACTTAGTGTGCGTAGTGAAGAGCTTGTTAGCAAACTATAGGCTAGCAGGCTTGTGACGCGTTTAGACAAGCTTAAAATAGCCTTTAATTAAGCTAAGGATAGACAGAGGATACTATAGGAAGATCCTAAGATAATTAGCGCATAGTTTAAGCTAGTAGAGGATACTTAAGTTAAGTATAGTGTTTGCAACAATAACATGCACAACTTTAATAAAACTAGGTTCTAGATAGGTGTTACTTTGTCTTTAAAGGTTGTAACAGGCTTAGAGAGACGTGCTTAGCCAGAGCTTGTTCAGCCAGGTGATCGCGAGTGGGTTACCGTTATCCAGAGCATATGCGCCGCTGGGTATGCAACCCTGCCTTTCATCATCTACAAAGGACAGGTCCACATCTCTGCCTAGTATAAGGAGACAGATATACCCTACAATTAGAAGCTCTTAGTCTCTAAGAACAGTTAGACAAACAACACACTTAGCCTTAAGTAGTTAAAGCACTTTAACACGCATATAAAGACATGTTAGGTAGGAGTGTATAGGTTGCTTATCTTAGACAGCTATAAGAGCTATCTTAACTAGGAGTTTAAGGACTATTGCCTAGAGAACTAAATCCTTACTCTCTACATACTACCTTACTTATTACACATCCTCTAGCTACTTAATATAGTCTATTTCTTGCTGTTAAAGTGTAAGTACTCCTAATATATTTAAGACTTAGTATGCTAACACGTCTTCTATATTAATAAGAAAGGCTTCCTACTAGCCTTTAGGGACGTGTTCCTTAATATATTTATCCCATCACTATAGGCCTCAAACTCCTTTAGAGTAGTCAGCTGCACTCCCTTAGCAAAGGTTAGAGTCCCTTCTTGCTGTACTTGCTTCCTTTTGTGTGATTTACGACGTGTGGCGGCCTTGTTGGCCGCCTGTAGGCCAGCAACCTGATTGCGCACTAAAACTAGCGAATGCGCCATCAGCTCTGCGCCTTTAGTGAGCTAATTAAGAGCGTTAACTATAGACATTAGCAAGCTATTAGTGTGTCTCTAAATCCTCTCTTAAATTAGCTTTAATTAAGACCTAAATTCTAGGGTGTTGCTTAGTGTTTTAGACTCCCACATACTATTGTCCACAGTAGGTGGCGTTAGCATACACAGCCATACTTTAAGCTTTAATAGCACAGCCTCTAGGTTAAGTAGGACTAGGCCAGCACCTCTAAATCCTCCCTAGATGTTACTCTCTGTAATTAAGGCGTTAAAAGCTGCTTTAAAGCACAGCAAGAACTCAAGTTTAGTGATACGCGTAATCTTGCTGCGCATTAGCCACTTAGCTTGGCGGCCATAGGCCTTCTTTAACAGAGAAAAACAGCCTACGTCAAGTGGCTGTAGTAGGTGCGACAAGTGTGGAGGCATACACAGGGTAATAATCTTGTGTTCCTCACAGTACTAGTGGAATTCGACTGAGTTGTGGCTCTCGTGGCCGTCCAGAATAAGCAGCCAATAGCTGCCAACAGTGCGCGCCTTTGTGTGCTCATCAAAGTGCTTTAACCACTTAACTCTAAGCTTGTTGTTAGTCTAGCTGTAGTTATAGATATTAAGAACCTAGTTGTTAGGTATACTAGGCTCCTTGTACCAGGCAGAGAGGTGGTGCTTGCTAGAGAAGATAATAAAGGGTGGGATAGACCAGCCCTTTGCGCAGATGCCTTAGATAATGCTAGTCCACTCTCAGTCGCCCTGCTGCACTGCCTTTAGTCTCCCTTAACACTTAGAGCCTGTAACAACAGCTCCTATTAATGTAACGCCTATTATAAAGCTAGATTTATTAAAGTTGTAGGTGTCTTTATCTTATATACTATACTTAGCTTTAGTATTCTCTACTAGTTAGAACTAGTCCCTAATTACCTTAGGATCCTTACACAGAGCTCTCTTATAGTTGTACTTGTGATTAAATTTAACTTTAAGCTCTGGCTAACGTTTAACAAAGTTGGCAGCCTAGTTCTTGCTAACGTAGGGCTGGTGGCGCTCAGCAAGCAGAGAATTGGCCATATCGTCTACATCAGCAAGCTGGGGCGAGTATCCTCGCTTGTCTAGCCTCAACACGTGCTGGACAATTCCCTCCTCTTCATTTTTTGTAAGATTTACAGTATTAGGTGTGTAGTCGCAGCGTGGGGTGGCTCTAGCAAGTTGGTCACTAAGCGTGCTTTGAGAGACGTTGTAGATTGCTGCAGCGCGTCGCTGAGAGAGCGTCGCGTCTTGTTGGATAGCCTGGAGAGCAAGCTGTATGTCTGCTTCATTAGAGAGCTTTTTCATGTTGCTGCGTTGAGGCATTGTTAGTAGAGTGAAGTTTGGTGTGGTCTTGACAAAAGTGACCGGTACGCTTGGGTGACCGGCATGCTTGTGGAGTACGTTAGTTGCTGTATAAATTCAATGTGCTTCTAACAATAAAGAATCTTCGTCATGCTATTAGCAGGCATCTAGCTTGTAGGCCTCTAGTAGATATAGAGTTAATTCTGCTTAACATCCTAGCAGATCTAGTTCTAATAAATATCAACGTGTTTAAGCTTAGTACTAAGCTTGTCCTACTCCTTTATAACTATGCCTACAGTCTGTTAGTTATTGCACTAAATAATAGGCGTCTAGTTAAGCTTTAAAGACAGTCCTTTAAACAAGCAGCACCACTCCTCTATCTCTAATCTAGCAAGTGAGAGAGCAAGCAGCTCTGCTTCTGTTGTTAATTTTGTCACAGTGCGTTAAAGTGTTAACTTCTAGTTAACAGTCATGCTAAATAGCTGAAATACGTATCCTTGAGAGCTTTGGCGCGTCTTAACGTCGTTAGTAAAGGAGGCATTAGATGCTCTAAAGAAGATAGGATCGCGATAGTCCTGTGGCGAAGTGAGGTGCTCTTGTATCTCTGCCTCGTCAGTGGCTTGAGCCTGCAGGGCTCGATATTTTGTCTCCAGAATGTGACGCCACACCCTTTGAATAGATTTGACGTGTGCTTGGCCAGGGTTAGTCAAATGTGAAGCGTGGATAACGTGAGCACAAGCCAGATCAGGTTAGGTATACTACGTGAGGTAGCCAAGGTAGCCTACAAGCTCTTAATAGGTCTTCTTCTAAGCTTTGTTTAGTTCCTTAAGAGATTGTTCTAGGTAATTTACTAGCATAGGCACCTCTAAAGGGCGGCTAGTAGAGATAATATTGTACTTAGCAGCAACCTTGTGTCAGATGCTCGTACTGTGAGCCAGAGTATGTGCTTAACGAGATCTTAGGTGGTATGATGATTTATTGATGATCGTGGCGATGGTGTTTCTGCCGTGGCGTCGTGCTGGTTGCTACAGGATTGAAGTGGGGGGGGGGGGGAATTAGCGCTGTTCGCGGCCGCCTGTGTGCGGGCCAATCAGGAGTTGCCAGGTCTCGCTTAATCGACCTGGCAACTGCTGATTGGCTGCGCGACAGGTCCCTGCTCGATTGCGCAGATCCGACCTCTCGCCGCTCGCTCTTATCTGACAATATTACTAAAACTAAGTTCCTGCCATGCTTTATAGGCGCCTACAAGGAGTTATTTACTCCTAGCAATATCTAAGGAGGCTTCTAAGGCGCTAGACTAGTTCCCTTTAAGCTAGAATAGGTTATAATAGGTCTTAATGTCTGCCTACATACCCCACTATTACCTACTGTAGAAGATGCTCCCTGGCAGTCCTAAACCCCCAGTAATACCCTGCAAATAGGGTCATAATTAACGCTAATTTAAGAGAGGATTTAAAGGCATGCAAGCAGCTTACTAACTTTAATAGTTAAGGCCTTTAAAAAGCTCGCTAAAGGCGCAGCTATAGTAGCGCACAAGCTAGTGTTAGCTTAAAAGGAAATCACTGGGCTTTAAGCAGTAAATAAGGCCTCTACGCAACGTAAATTGCATAAAAGAAAGCAGTTACAGTAGGAAGGGGTCCTAATAGCTAAGGAAGGCCTTTAATTAACTACCCTAACTAAGTTTAGGGCGCGTGGTGATGGTAAGAAGGCAGGGAAGCGAGCGCGTGTTAAAGGAGGTAAGGCAACCTAAAGACGCTGTAAACAGTGTTATAAGGTAGGGCATAACTCACGCATGTGTAAAAAGCCTGTAGAAGCTGTTGCTAAATAATATTACATGCTGTACCAGTGTATACAAGGCCAAAGTAGGCCAATGCGAGCCATAATAGGGTGGAGGTTTGGTGTGGTCTTGGCAGTATGAACGACTCTCCCGTATAAACGACTCACCCGTGGAGTACGTTAAGTGCTTGAAATGTTTGAGCAGCTAGTGTAGCAGCGTAGGTGTCTCTGTATGTCTGCTGTAGATTGCTGTGGACAACAATTCGTGCCTTGAATTGATAGAGGTAGCTGTCCTTATTGAACTTGTATGTGAATACCTACATCAGGGGTAACACCTCTGCATCAGCAGTCTCTGCTGTCTGTGTTGTCTTAGCAAAGCAGCCTTTGCCCTAGATCTTGTGATACTCTTTTTAAGCAGCTTGTCAAAATTGCTCTCTAAATTAATAAGAGTTAAGCTCTTAATATAACTGCAGAGGTCTTGACACCTGTGTGCAGTGTATCTTTGTTGTTAGCTCAGCCTTTAACGTGTTTTATAAGCGAGTGCGCATTACAAGGGAGTGCACACCCCACCAACATTTTCTAGTAGTATTCTAAAGTTGTTGTTGTTAAGGCATATTATATTAGGGTAAAAGGTGGTTGTGCCAAAAGAAAGTGGCCAGTTTAGTGATATGGCCCGCTCGGCTATAATCTACGTTAATGGCCGAGATCTCCACATACGACCATAGGACGTTGAAAACAAGGCTTCCCGTTCGCTCAGCCCTATTTAAGCAACGTACCGGCGGATTAGTAGTTAGGTGGGTGACCACTAGCGAATACCCGCTGTTGTATGTTTTTGCCATTGTTTGGCTCTTGTAGCCGACCTTCAGCTGTCTGCGCACGAAACCTACACTTCATCAACAGCATTCCTTACTTTTTGTCAGCGCTGGGCGCAGGCTTCCTCAAAACATGATATTCAAAGACAGTAACGTGTTTTACAAGCGAGCGCCGCGTACAAGCGAGCGCCGCACCCCACCAAACTTGTGCACCTCTCTCATCTCAACGTACAATGGCCCAACGCAGCGCTGCTCTATCAGCTTCAAATGAAGCAGACGTTCAGCTTGCTATCTTATCTATTAATTCTTACCAGATACAGAGCAATCGCAGTGCTGCTGTTATCTATAGCGTACCTGAACGAACAATCCGCCGCCTACGCGCTGGCAAGCCTGCCCGACGTGATTGCCAGCCCAACTCAAAGAAGCTTACTCTGCGTGAAGAGGAGGTGATTATCAGCTATATACTCAATCTGGACTAACGTGGTTTTGCGCCTACGTACGCAGCTGTACGTGATATGGCTGATAAGCTGCTGGCTGCGCGCGGTGCAGGTCAGGTTGGCGTCCACTGGCCACGCAACTTTGTCAAGCGTACAGACAGTCTCACGACGCGTTTCAATCGAGCGTACAACAGACAGAGAGCCCTGTGTGAGGATCCAGCTCTAATCAGAAGCTGGTTTGAGCTTATAGAGGAGACAAAGGCTAAGTACAGTATCTGCAATAATGACGTCTACAACTTTGATGAGGCTGGCTTTATAATAGGCAAGATCACGACTTAGCTTGTTGTGACAGGGTCAGAGAGGAGAGGCAGGCCAAAGGCTATCCAGCCAGGCAATTGTGAGTGGGTGACGTTGATCGCTGCAATCAACGCAGCTGGCTGGTCAGTCCTGCTGTTCCTTATCTTTGCTGGCAAGTACCACCTCTCTGCCTAGTACGAGGAGGATATCCCACATAACTGGGTGATTGTAGTTAGTGACAACAGCTAGACAAACAATAAGCTAGGAGTTAAGTAGCTAAAGCACTTCAACGCTCACACAAAGGCTCGTGTAGTAGGAGCACATTGCCTGCTTATTCTTGATAGCCACAAGAGCCACCACTCTCTTAACTTCCAAGAGCTCTGCAAGGAGAACAATATCTATACGCTCTGTATGCCGCCTCACTCATCCCACCTACTACAGCCTCTTGACGTTGGCTGCTTCTCGCTGTTGAAGCGCGCGTATAGCCATGAGGTTGAGAGCCTGATCTGCCACTATATCAACCATATCACCAAGCTTGAGTTTCTGCCAGCGTTCAAGGCAGCGTTCAATCAATCATTCACCTCAGCCAATATCTGCTCAGCCTTTCGAGGCGCCGGCCTTG